GTATTGGACTGAGTACACACAAAGAAAAGGTGTTTGCTATTCTGCATTTTAAATTGCTGGATTAGAACAGAGACTACACTGCTTTATCTTGCTAAATTCTACATGTTCCTTCAAGATGTAAAACACAATGGTGTGATTTTAAGGATGTTGGGAAATCGTGGATGCAAGACTAGAACTTGCTGAAAAGAGATTATAAGGGTGATGATATATCAGTAGCAAAGATTACAACAAGATTTTATTTGCCCAAGTGTTAAGTAGATGTGCTATTGCATATCAGAATTTTACTTCAAACTAAAGGTCTGTATGGAAACTAGGAAAATGTGAATCTGGAGAGACTTCAAAGAGAGAACTTGATGACATCAGGGGTATTTACACTGACAGCAGCATTATGGAATTCACAGTATTTTTAAATTAAGGACATGGCTCACTAATTGCCAGTCCTGTGAGCTTACATATTCTAATTTAAATTTTACATTCTGACATAAACTATGAATCCCAAATATAGACAGCCTGGTCTTTTCTTTGGAACTTGCTACTCAAATACATAAATTATGGCAATTAAATTTGATATGATTTTATTTTATTAAAAATAACTGTTTGAAGAGTTCAAGCCAGCCAGTTCAGCACAGTCAATGGCAAATGATAAAACATTTCAAATTACTTGTATTACCTTTAAGGAACACAGTAATTTTCAAGAGCCAAACAGAACAAATGATTAGTTAGCTTTTCTACTAATATGCAGTATGTAGCTGTCTGATGATTTGCTCTCTCATTATGCCATTAATGGAATCAGCTAATAAAACACAAATGAAAAGCCCAAATATTTTGGACAGTCACCAAAGTCCCACGGTGGCTTTATTTCCCAAAATAAAGACTTGACTCCTCGCATGACAGTGACAGCAGACACGACAAACTGAGAGAAAGCAGTTTCTAATTGGTTTAATGTGGCCAGCCCCAAACCCTCAGCATTTTAGCTCCTTCCTCCTGTCTGCTTTTAAGGTTTTCCATGCAAGTAACTTGGGGAACATAAAAAGAACAGCAGAGGCAGGGCATACTTGATACCACTCCAGAAGATGAAGAGATCTGCTGCTGGAGCAGTGCACTTGTTTAAACCCAGGGAGGTGGGGAGAGAGGCCAGCAATGAAGGATGTGTACCAATTACTGCTTCCACACAGAACCCCATGGAGAGCAATAGTGCAAGGATCCCATTCATTTTGTTGGGATTCATTTATTTCCAAATGTTAAAAGTTACTGCAGCACATAACGTAGGCACAGTAATAACATCACTAGGGTACACTGGCCATTGTAGTTTGGATCATTGTGAAAGAATTTTTTATTGGGAAAAAAAAAAAGCTAAAGCCTGAAAAGTGGGTGGAAGGACACCAGTATTTAAAGAGATGTGTTGTATAATGTCTGCCACTGAAACCTTTGAAACAGGAAAATCAAATACTCTTTAAATTAAGATATGAATGCTGTTATAAAGTTTCAACATGGAATTTAATGGACTGGGGGAGGAAAGCATTCTGACAAAGCACTGCTACAGCAAAATACTGGAAAACTTTAAAGTGTACAAGCAGACCTGCTGAAGTCAGAGGGGCAAGATTTGAAGGTAAAAACATGCCCATGCTTAAATATTCTTCTTTTTATGTGTTGAGTATCTGCTAATCATCTTTATAAAAAACTCTGAATAAAGTTTCAGAGAACCCTTTCAAATTTCTTGTCAATTTAAAATCCTCTCCCACCTTAAACTAGGACTTAGAGAATTGAATCTAGGAAAAAAAAATCAAGATTTGTTCTAAGTTTTAGATTTACATTTGGAGATTTGTGTTATGCTTTATTTCATAAAATACATAACAAAAGATCTTTCTGGCAAGCAATGGCACAGAATTGGGCATGAAGTGGTCTTGAAAAGGTCACCCACACCAGTATTTCTCAATCTCTTTAAATCTAAAGCTCCCCTGAGCCTTTCTAAAAAAAAAAACCTGAATGGCTGTTTTGGGCAGTGTCACCATAATTCATCTCTGGCCCACTCCAAACCAGGTCTAAACTTCAAACATCTGTAAATTTGCCCCCAGTTTGCATCTTGCTGCTTGTTTTTATTCAGATTACATTTCTTGCCACTGCTTATGACATCCTATGGTCCACTGATAGAGATACACAAATTTAGTCCATCTTACTGCTTCATATGAGACCAGCCATACCTGACAGGCAGCTGTTTGTACATTTCCCCAGTGGCAGAGATGCCACAATCTCTCCAGCCAACCTATCCTAGAGGTATAAACACCTCAGCTGGGGAAAGATTTTCCTAATACTAACTTAAACCTTACAGTGATAAACCTTACAATCTTTTTGCTTTTTGTCCTAATGACAATGAGTTTATGATTATTTACTCTAATCTCCATTCTCCAGGAAACTGTGCTAAGGCACATGGGAAACAAAGAAGTGGTTGGTGACAGCCAATGTGGCTTCACCAGGGGCAAGTCTTGCCTGACAAATTTGGTGGCTTTTCATGATGGAAGTAAAGCACAGGGGCAAGCAGACTTGTGCCAAGCATTTGACACTGTCACATGCGACACCCTTGTCCCGAGACTGGAGGGATGTGGATATGATGGATGGACTTCAGCAGGTTTCCCATGAAACTGGAGGTATGCAGATTGACACCAAGCAAGAAGAGGAACAATAAACATTGGCAAGCAAAAATTAATGTTCATTTAGAAGATCAATATTCAATAAGAATAAATGCCAAATTCTAAAAGTCTATATATCTATCTACTGCTTCTTTCCTAGCCACAAGGCCTGTCAGAGAAGAAAATTAGATTGTTTTGACATAATTTGGTCTCGAAAAATCTGTGTTGGCTGTTAAAATTGGCATATACAATTTGAGATGTCAAAAGATTTAGATCATTGGAAAGGTAGGGCAAATAATTGAAGCTCTGATGGGCCTAACAAGACTGTTGTAATAAAGAAATCACTCAAAGGAACTTCATTCAGCAGAGCTGAACCATCAGAACTGCAACTAATACTCAGCCAACTTGCTAAAAGAGAATTACTTCTACTCTAAATTTATGCACTCTGTATAGAGGAAAGCATGAACCAAATGTATGTAACACAACATAAATCTCAGAAGAAAAGAAATTCCCTTCCTTCTGACACTGCTCTTCCTGCGTAGCAAACTTGGTGACTGGCAGTACATTTTAATTCAAATATGCACACATACAAAATTACAGATACATCTTGTTCCCCCAGCGACTTTATAACATGTTGCTAGGTAACAGTGCATACAAGTCAGGTTTCAAGACCTTTAGTAAGTCACCATAAAATAACTGCATAGGCCTTTTGCATGAATAATGTACATTTGTATCCTTTCTCTGATGCCAATAGAGCAGACACTGAAAACATGACCGTCTGCCAGACTGTGAGCAGCTTCCCATCAACTGCTACATGAAAAGCCACACACTAAATTGTTGCATGTTCTCTCAGCTTTCAGGCTTTCCCCCACTCTCCTGCACTCTGCTCTCATTCCTGCTCCATGCAGCCATCAGGAGCAGCACCCTCCCCTCACATCCCCCTCTTCGTGCACAGCAACCCGGATTCAGGATCCACATCGGCACAACAACATGTGTGGGACAGCTGTTGGACAGTGTCAGATGGATTGCATATCAAGCCCAAATCTGAAACTCAACTCAAGAAATGTACAAGAAAATCCAAACAGACTCACCCTGCCCACTCTTTGTTAGTCAGAACAATCATTTATATCAACAGATTATTTAATATTTTTTTCAGAGGGAGGTCCTGTGTCTTCTTCCAACCAACACAGCAAGTCATTTGTGCCACCCCAATTCACCTCCTGCTTGCCCTCAGCTGTTTTCTCCTTTCCTGGCTGGCTCCATGAAGCCTCAGTCTTGATATCTTGTATGAACCCATTCTACTCTATTCCTCACAGAACTGTGATCCCAGAAGTATAAAGATTTGGGAAGATGAGGAAAGAAAGATTTTCCTAACAAATGGCTGTAGTTTCACCAAGACTGGTGAAACTAAGACAGAACTAATTCCTTCGTTTATCTGACAATAAAATTTACTCAAATACAACTTACTTTCCATTTGAAGGAGAAAGTTGACTAATTATTTTCTGTTGTAAAGGTTTTCTTCTCTCTCCAAAGCCTAAAATGTCCCACGGGGACCAAGACCTCCTTGTGAAACAGAAGTTCCTTGACTGACATTTTTCCTGACTTCTTTCTCTTCAAAAAATTCAAGGCCAATTTCAAAAACATTTGGCTTAGAACACCTCCCCAGCATATCAACTGTTCTGAATTATTCAGTCAAATCAATAAAAGAGCACATGAAATATAACAGATCCACCCTAAACACATCCTACACTTTAGTCTAACACATGAATATCATTCTTACAGCAATATTCTGACAGTGAAAAAGCATGAAACACATGTATAAAACAACAATAATAATAATTTTTAAATTAATCTCTAGGACTACTGTTCTTTTAAAAGTGTTAGCAACAAAACACAAAAGCAGTAACATTCACACTGCCCATACATTTACTACATAGGCCTCAAATACAACTTGGAAAGGAAGGTGACCAATACTTTACTGGTCCTTTTTAACAGGAGGGTAAAGGCAGAAAACTTAAAAACTGAAATTTTGAACATGCTGGGCACTTGGGTAACCCTCAGTGATTTCAAACTGGAATGTCAGCATGCCTGGAAAATGCATCACAAGAGATTTGCCAAGGTAAATGCTAATGAACATGAAAGCCTGGCTAAACAGTTCTCACTCCTAATCCCAGCAATTAAACAGCAAAACTCCTCTCTCTTCTCACTGTTTCCCCTCTGCCCTTCACCATACACCTCTGCTACCAAAAGAAACAAGAAATTTTAAGTCAAGAAGCTACAATGTTTTGCTCCTAGCAATTCCTTGACTTAATAAAACCAAGACAAAGTGTCTCCTAGCCCATGAAAGAGCAGCCAGTGCTGCTGCTCAATTACCTGACAGCTTCATTAGAAAATCTGATGCCATCTTGACAGAGATGTCTTGGCTGAATAGTGCTGATGCTGTATTGGCCACGAAGTCAGAGGAGTCTTTCAGCTTTGTGTTGTTTGGGGCTCTGTCAACAGTGCTAAGAGCAAAAGGTGCAGCTGGGGTGCCAGTGTCATCCTTGGGCTCTTCTTTCACCAGCAAAGGTGGAACGCCCCCAGCAGGCTGCCCAGCCACATCGGGGGTTTTGGACACAGATGCTGATCCGGGGAGCTCAGGCCCTGCTCCTTCCCTCTGTGCTGCCGGGCAGGAGTCACTGTTCAGCTGTGGGGACCCCTTCACCTCAGTGTCTGGCATTTCCTCCTTCACTTTAGACTCTGTCCTGAGGAAATGCTGGTGGCAGCGCATGTGGAGCTTCAGGCTGAAGTGGCGGGAGGAGGTAAAAGGGCACAGCTGGCATTGGAAGGTCTCACCCCTGTCTTGGTGCTGATGAACCTGGGTCAAGGGGGGAAAGACAACAGCTTGTATTAAGCCAGGCAGATTAATAGAATTGCAGAAATCTCGATTCTGTTTCTCACACTGTTTGAAAAAAAAAAAGGAGAAAATATTAACTAATGAGTGAACTCTTCATTCTGAGCACTGGGAAAGTGGTCAGACCCCAAGAACAGTAGGATTCTTTCACACAAGTCAAAGAACTTAAGCATCCGACTCAAGTGAAGACAACAAAAAAAAATCAGGAACATCTGTTTCTGTAGCTTGGAAATGATGATGTCTGCTTTGGATCAAACAGTCCTTACAATCAGATCCTGATGACCTGTCAGTGCATAAAGACTTCCAAGCTATAACTAATAGCTTTCTTGATTAAAAAACAAACATCACTCTGTGCAACCTAACTAATAAAAATTGTTCAGAACAACTCAGCTAAAAAAAAACCCAACCAACACAGCAATGTCCATCATTGATTTATGTACCATTAGAGTAAAAACACAGCACCTGGCAATACCAAGGAGCTATTGAAACAGTTTGCTGCAAATTAATTCTACCAGAAAATAAACAGCTCTTTTATGATACAATAGAAACATAAGAGATGGTGTCTGCCATTTATTGTAGTTTATCAGTCAATTAAGGATCACAGTTAATCTTACTGGCCTCATATTTGGACTGCAGGCTCTTTGTCATGGAGCCTGCATGCTCCAGTGTGTGTGCAATGCCTGCCATCCCCAGGCTCCATCCCGATTACCTTTAGAGAGAACTCCATCCATCCATGCACAATGGCTCACATATTATAGGAACAGATACACTCATTAAACTATATAAGCTACAGACATATAATTATACAATTTCTTGCTTCATACAGTACTCATTAAACAGAAGGAGCAACTGAGCCCAGCATAACAGCAGCAAGGCTGTTGAAAAATCTTTTTGCTATGGCTTCACAAATAAATTTTAAATCCTGACAGCAGCACTCCTGCAGGCTATTCCCTGCAAAAAGGCTGGCAAATACATATATTTGTTCCTTACTAATGGATGAACATGTGATCAGGACACACTGGCACCAGCTGAGCTCCACACATTCGCTTTCACTTGTGACTCAAGTTGGTTGGAAACATTTCAGTGAGACAGATTTTTGTTGGAAAATGGCAATTTGTTGAATGCAAAATATTTCACCTGAAACATGGAGAGGTTTGATGAACTCTTGGCAAACAAGGTGTGATTCCCTTTCTACTGAGTAGGCACTCTTCCTTTCCCTGCTCCCTGGGCTTGGCTCAGAGGAGACCAGCTGTGCCAGGGATCTAAGGTTTGCTGCTACAGTCTGGGAGTCCAAAAGCCCTGAGGGCTGCAGATCTACACAAGGGAGCTTGGAAAACCTAGCTTTAGCTAAGGCTTTCATCACTTTCCAGTCTCCTGCAGAGCTGAGATCCAGATCCTGAGGGTCCTGGTGCAGACACCTGGTGCTCCAGGGTAACAGCAGCATTTCCCAAACAAGGCTCTGTCAGAATTCAGGCTGGAGCTGCACATAGTGCTAGACTTGGCCTGATTAATTTCCAATATTGTAAGAGGAACTCAGTCACAAGCTCAGATTCAGGATTTCCAGTTCTACACAAGCCCTCAACTCAGGTCTGCTGAAATGTGAAGCTGGGGAATGTATCTCTTTTTTTTTAAAAAACAAGTACTTTTTGCATTCAGTGAAGACACATTTCACCAGTGCTGCATAACTTTTCATTCAGTGGTTCTTTGGTGGCTCTGGAGGTCCTAGACAGATAGCAAGAGAGAATTTCTCTTGGCCAGAATGACATTCTCAGCACTAAGCATGACATTTACAGACAAAGCAATTCTGCAATCCTATAATTGCACCTGATAAAGACAAGAAGAAAAGAAAAAAGAAAGAAGCTGGTTCTAACCTAACACATATTTAAAGCAACCTTGCAGAAGAATAGCAGCACAATAAATGCTAAATATTAGCAGGTTACAATGAAAATGCCAGCCAGATTGCCTGTGTACACTGGTGGAAGCAGGATGGTCTGTGAGCACAGCAGTGTGTGAGCACTCTCCACAGAGAACACCGAGATGTGCTCAGGGCAGTAAGCACCCTCACCATGGCAACTTTATCTCTTACACCCACAGATTCTGTGTGCCAGGGCTTCTCTCCAGGGTCCCCTTCAATCAGCATTTCCCTGCCTGTGTGTTTAACCACATCTTCCAGAGTTCCTTATCACAAGCATCGATCCCATGCCTTCAGAAGGCTGTCCCTGCAGCAGGCAGGTGACAGAGCCTGGGTGGGAGCCCACCTCCTCTCCCCAGGACTAGGGCATGCCACCTCTGCAATATCTTTTGAGAACGGATGAAAATAAGAGCCATTGATTCATTTGAATTTTTTTTTCTCCTGCTCGAAAACAGTGACTTCATCACCAATGGATTTCTCATAAAATAAAGAGCATTTCTAACTCACAGCCAAGGAATGACAGAGTTCAAACCCAAGTATTTTGAGTATTGAAAGGAAAAATTTTAGACCAAGAAAAAAAATAAGCCAAAGATATAGCCTCCCAATATCCAGAGTCCATTCCCACCAGAAGATTTTAACTTTTATTTTCAAAATTAAATAAAATTAATTTAAAATTTTGAACACTAAAGCTAAGGTAAAATCCCACTAAAGGAAAATCTATCCCTTATTTTCTCATTCAGCAGCAGCTAAAAGAGCCAAGAATTGCCATTCTTTGCCATTTGGGGGAAAGAGTCAAGGCAGCAACTACTTGCTGCAGAAAGAAAAACAAGAAACCCTGTAGAGCTACACAGAAAGCCACAGGGGAGATTCAGGCCATGCAATATTAGAGTCCAAAAAGCTGCCTGCTCCCTCCATGAGGCAGAGAATGGCTCTTACACTGTGCTAATGCTACCCAAACCATCAGATGTCTTCTTTAGACTCCAACAGGCTCTCCCTGCAAGAACCACAGGCAGGAGGAGACAAGAGTGCAGCTGGCAGGTTTTCCCCAAAGTGCCAGCCTGAGCCCAGCTGCTGCCAGATTTGGATCTCTCTGAATTACACTGCAACAAACCACAGCGCACAACCTGCTCATACACAATGCTTCTTTCAAAATCCCATAAAACTGCTGTTTGACTTATGCCAGAACCACTTAAGGGCTTCTGGCTTCAGATTTTATTTCCTTTAACCAGGGATGTTCTCCTTGACTGGGCAAAGGACTTGTATCCTCTTGATTCTGACCGTGCAGCCTGCCCAGTCTCAAATGATATTTTGTGATTCTGCAGTTTTTCAGTGTGTGCTTGCTATGACGCAGTGATTTTCAACAGAATTACAGTGTCCTTACAAACTTTAGGCTTTGTTTGAGGACTTGGGCACAAGTTATCTCTTGGTCAAAATTTTAAATTTTCGTTTCTCTCCGTTTCTTTTGCTGCCTCCTCATTCTCAGATTACAAGAAAGAAAAAAAGAGGCCATTCAGTTCATCTTCTCCATCAAGCATTGTTCTGATCACACCTCTCTCACCCTCCTGGCAGTCCCATTCTTTTCAGCTCCTTTCTTCAAAGGCAGTCCTTTCTTGCCATCCCACTAATAATTTTCACTACCAGCTTTTAAAATCCCTTATATTTCTCATGTCTTTTCTAATGCAGCGACCAGAAGTGGCAGCATACCATATGCTAATAGTAACATTGCTACATTTTCAGTGTTATTTCTGTTTTATTCTCCAGACACTCAAATATCTAATGTGCTTTTTAACCACTGCTGTGCATGCCAAGAAAAGGTTTTCACTGAACTGTCTATAACAATATCCAGATATTTTTCCTGAGCAGTTACAGTTCATTATATCCAACAGGCAGGTGCATTATTAGACTCTGGTTTCCAAGGTACAGTACCTTCTATTTGTCAACAATAACTTCACTTGCCCCCTTGTTTATCAGGCAGCCAGCCTCCTTTTGTTCCCTTTCAAGCTTTGCCTTTTTTAATCTCAATTCATGCACATAAGGTTGCACCATCTATAATTCTCTTACCGACAGTCATCACTCTGTGTAGATCATATTTGCTAAAATATGCACAATTTCACTTTTAGTAATGGAACACCCCTCTGTTAGCCTTTTGTCATGCTTAAAATTGCTAATTCCTTCCTACCCTTTGTTTTACTGTCTCTTGGTGAATTTCTAATTTGCCATAGTACATCACATTGCTTAATTTATTTGGCAGCTTCTCTGTGAGAAGCTTTGCCAAAGGCTTTTTTATAGACCAAATAAATTTCAACTGATTTTAAAGTCCATGATTTTCCTGACATGCTCAAACCATCTTAGAAGAGGAACACATTATTTTCTTTTACAGAAACCACGTCCCCATCGTATCACATAATTTGTATCAATGTGTTGCTTTTTTTGTTACTTTTCTTGTTTTGTTTTGGTTTTTTTTTGTGGACATTGTGACTTTCCTGGTATCATAAGCCACTTCTTAAGTCATCTTTTCATACTTACAAGCAATATCCCTGCTGATTTACCAGCCATACAGATGTACCACAGTTACCAATACATCTGATCCCTCCCAACAGCGTAAAACAGGAGTAGGGGTGAGGAAAAGGGTGACACAGGCACATCCTGCAATTTTGTGGTACTGCTGAGGTTGATCTTTTCCCTTCCCCTTCCCTAAAGCCAGGTAATGCTTTGCACAGACTCCACTTTCTGGTTATGAGACACAGGCATTTCACGTTTCTTCTGTGGGATTATTTTTAAAATTAAGCGCACTTTCCATTTTAACATCTAGCATGTGCCCTCTGCATTTTCATTTCATGCTCTTTTCCAACAATTCCCTCATTTTAAAAATATTGCATTTTCAAAAGTTTAGTGCTGTGTTGCTAGTTTTGATCTGATCCTTCCCCTCAAGACATATGTTATTTATATAGTATTTTCTTTTTTAAAGTATTTCCCTTGCTTTGCTTGAAAACAAGGGGGGGTGGGGGGAAGGCCTCTCTGCAGTGCTGGACTGGATTAGGTATTAAAAAAAATATTTTTGAAAAGATTTAAGGTCCTGTCTTATCCTTGTTTCATATGCGAAAAGAGAGATTAAAAGGGAGATACTTGAAGTCATTTGTGGTGCCTGTCTGAGACTCTGGGCACAGATTTTGTGTGTTGAAAAGTTGTGCAAGTTTGCATTAGCTCCACTCAGCTGCTGGGGAGGTCACGGAATCACAGGTGCCTCCCATGGCTCTTCAAGTTTAACTTAAAAATAAACAAAACCCTCTCCCATAAGGCACATTCAACCTCCCTCTCCCAAGAGGTGAAGATGCTTTGAAAAGAACCAGTCCTATACTTCACCAAAATGGATCAGGAAAGCTTTTACAGTTATCTGGCACTAGCTGAGGAAGAAAGAAGAAAAAGCAAATCAGCAAGGGGACCTGAACACCTGGCCCCATTCCTCAGGACCTTTCCTGATTCCTGCTGTGATATCATAAATAGGCTCCCTAACTGCAAGGCTGACTATAACCCTCTTTGTATCAGACAAGAACATCAATCTGGATCTCACTGGGATGGTTGCTCTTCACAAGCAGGAAAATCCTGTGGTTGAGCATCACATGACCTGCCTACCACTGCACTGAACCTTCCTGCTAAGCCTCACCTTCCCTTCCCTCATTTTCTATCAAACCCTCATGTTTCACCACATGTTCACAATGCCAAACTTCTTTTCCACTGCTACAACAGATAGCTCACCCATTCCTGCCTTATGCCTATATAGCAGCACAAGGAACATTTCTAGATATTGTTTTTGGCCATATGCTCCTCTTCCTCACTCCCCTTCCAAGTGCTCAGCTAATATCCTGTTGCTTTCTTGGAACATATCTGCATGATCTCACAGCCTATCTGTCCACCAATTGCTGAGGAAGATATGTGCATGATCCAAAGGCACCAATTGGCCAAAGTCTGACTGATGCTTATGGTATTGCTCCGAGGAAAATGTAATTCCCACCAGGAAAAGCAGAAAAGCCTGACTACATCTTGCTGAATTGCACCACAACTTTCCATTGCTTTCTGCAGAAGTACATAGGATACTGTCTCAAGAAGAAAACATATTCCAAATGAACATATATTTTGAAAAACAGAGAGAAGGACTCAAGAATAATATTTGCTGCCTGCTTGGACAAGACACCTCTCTCAGTTACCCATTCATTTTGTCCAGCTTAATCTTCAGTTCAGTGCTCTCAGCATCCCTGGAAACCATGCTGTGATACCAGAATCAGCTCCCAGCTTACTGGGAACAAGAGTCCAAACTTGTGGCTATGCATGCACTACAATTTGCCTCCAAAAAAAACCTAATAAAATTCTGCACTGCATCTATTTTTGGATTTTTATAAGGTGCCTGTCACTGTGGAGTCTAAACACAATATACCAATTATAGTTAACACTCTGTGCCTTAAAAGGCAGGCTACTCAGCCCCCCTTGTTTGTTGTGTGTCTGTGTGGAAACTTTCCTTCTGTTTCCCTTCTTGCTCCTTTCACTTCCTCGCCTCCAGTTGTGAGATGGCCCTGGCAAAGTGCCCTTAGTGGGAGAAAGCTTCATCCACGTGGTGGGTAGCACATGCAGATCTGAATATGGGTCAGGGCTGCAACCATTCCAGCTCTCTATTAAGATTTCCTCCATAGCAGGGGGCAGGACACCAAAAATGTTGGCAATGTTGAGTTCTGGGTCAGTCACTTAGACATGTTACAATTATCATAATAAAATTACATATAAATATAAATATATATATATATGTAATATACATATGTAAAATATATATGTGTATATATATATATAATAGTTGTGAGTCATTAGCCTAAAGACACAGTAAGGAAGGCCCATATGGATACACACAGACCACTCATGGAAATGAAATCTCCAAATAACCAGTTTCAGTGGAGAATGCCTACAAGAACCTAGAAAAAAAAAAAGGTGGTTCAAGCTCATGGCTATGTTGCCTAGGAGGACACAAAAGCAAAATAATCAGATTTTGAGGACTGCAGCTGAACAAAACACATTTTGCCTCTTATCCTTATCAATAGAGAAAAAACCTATGAAAACCAAAGAACAGCATAAACAAAGATTTTAAGGTGATGTACCTGCCCCTGGAAAAAAGCTTGGTTTGTTACAGCATCCTGGAATAAAAGTTGCCTTGTAATGAACGACAAACACCAGCCCAGTACCTTTGTTCTGAGTGGCCTTTTTGGTTTTGAAAAATCTGCCTTCACCTGTAGGCACAGCTGACACATGGGGAGAAATGGGTGGAGAAGCAGAAGCAGCTCTACCTTCATGGGCTGCCTGCCAAAAAGGAGATGAAGCCAGGTAGCTCCCAAAGGATACTAAGGCAATGAGAAAACCAACACATCCAGCTGGCATAACCAGAACACTGCATCCTAAGTAGCTCCCAGCTGTACTGTACCATTTCTGGTGTGTCTCCAGTCCATTTTGAATGCTGCTGGCTTATATATGTTGCAGTTTTTATAATATCATGTACATATAGATTTAAAGGCAGCACTGTTTATAATGAGAAAAGAAATCTCATTTTTTAAAACTTTTAATCTTGTTATCAATTTATACTTCCACCAAAAGGAATATAAGTTATGCCTGACACTTTTGAGCACAAGACTAACATGCCCCCTCCTCATTCACCTGCTTCAGTTTTGATGTGATAGAAATTAGTTTTAATGGCTTAGTCAGTTAAGAAAAGTGTATGAAACTGTTTGAAACTAAGGTAAAATATTATCTCTCAGATTGTTGTGATTCTTTGCATCTGTCTGAAGACCAAAAAACAAATGCAAAAACCTGGTTTTATAAGACAATTGCTTTCACCTCAAATAAGGACAGCTCTGCCAGCAAAGATGCCCAAGTCCATCATGGCATTTATGAGTGGACTGCAGTGATGGAGGAGACTTCAGATCAGGCCTCCACAGTGAGGCTGAAGGTGGCTGTAACCTCTTGCATTGAGTCAAACAGGCCTGACTCTGACCTCAGGGGTTTCTGACTGAGCATTATCCAGTCATAGTCACAATATCACCAAATAATTAACACTACATGCTACATGATTGTACAATGAAGTCTGTTTTAAGCAGATGCAGGCTCAGTTACTGAAAGCATTAATGCTAGGAGGGGAGCAGAAACAGGCACAAGGGCCTCAGGAAGGCATCACTTTGAGAACAGACAGAGGCAGTGAAAAAGTCCCTGATTTTGTCCAACATCCTACCTGTGACCTCCTGCAGAAATCACCATGCCAAAAAGGAAGGGATAGAGCCTCAACCTTTAAACAACATTTTGTGCCAGTAAGGCAGAAAAATGCAGAGAACAATTATTTCTGCAGGGAACAATAGGGATGTCCTTTACAAAGCAGGGGACAACAACAGGTCCTTGCCAGGGAGTAGTGAGCTTCCAGGTGATGCACACTTCTGTGCAGGCTGTCAACAAACAAACAAAAACCCCCACACTTTCTTTCCATGCTGTGTTCCCATCCTATCTATTCATCCTCTGCTTAGGTTGGCCATCTGTGCCCTCTAGTCAACATGGAACAGCAAGTCCTAAAAGAGAGAGCCATAAGCACTGAGCTGACTTGATAAGGATTAGCATGATACACTGAGGATGCAAGGGGAATACTGCACTGATCTACAGTAGAAATGTTAAGGAATGAGCCTTCAGACTATAGGGGGATGATTTAAGACCTAGCAACAACTTAAACCATAGGAAGATCTAATGTTGTGACAAGAGGAATCAGAATAATTTACACAGAAGGGAACAGCTTCTTGAGTGTAAGCAAGGCCATACACTTGTCCAGTAAGCTCAGATTCTGCAATAGCATATTTGAAACCTGAACAGGCATTTCTGTCCCCCCTCACACCAGTCTGATCCCCTGTTACACACATTCATCTAAAACAGACAAAATGGTAACTATAATAAAACATTTCACTATTATTATAAAACTCAACTGCATTAACAAGGGAAATGTTTTCACTTCAGCTTATCAATCAAAGGGCTAAGAGGACAGGTTCCATTTCAACTTCCTCAAGAATATTCTACAGCTTGCAACACTCAGCACTTTGTGTTGCACCCATGTAGTACTTCAGCTAAGCAGACAATCAGTTTCTTCTTTTTTTCATATTTTTCTGTATCAACACAGATGTTGCTTCCTTTAGAAGGTCATTTTCAGCTTAAGCCCAAAACTCAGGCTGAGTTAAAAACACATTTTAAACTTGAAAACAAAATATTACAGTGTGATCTGTCATTCATTTGGCTTGGATGATTCACTTCTGAAATGCCCACAGTTAAAAGCTACAGCAAGAAAAAAGTTAAAACTGCAGGCCTGCCTGTAGAAAGTGATGGAGAGATCCCTGCTAGAGCTGGCCAAGTTGGTTTGCCCACTTACAGCGAGCCACTGGCATGCAGGGTTATTATCATGCACTGGCATCCTGGGAGTAGCACTGATAGGATTGTGTGGTGTCACATCCCAACCAGCATCCCTGCTCCTGGTGCTTCCAGCTCTGGAACTGAATCAGCCACACACAGCTTGTGCTGTACCCAACTGACATAACCCAAGGCAGTTTCCACACTGCATAAAATGGAAAGGCAAGCAATGGAATGAAAGTTATTTCTTTCTTTTTACGGCCTCTTTAGTTAAGTACAGGCATCGTTTGTAGCACAACAAGGGAAATTTTGTTCTTGCAAATGCAAATGAAATAGCTTTGTTATACTCTCAGTTTTTGACTGATGATTTGGGTATTTTGATTGTCAGTAAAGGTTTCCCTTACCTTCATGTGTGATTTGAGATTGTCCTTGCGTGCACAGCGGAAAGGACAGAGAGGGCACTGGTGGCTCTTCAAACCTGTGTGAATCACCATGTGCCGTTTCCAGTAACTCTTCCTCTTGATAACCAAACCACAGATGGGACACTGGAAAGGTTTTCCCCCTTCTTCTTCTGAGGCTTAGCAGGAAGAAAAAGAGAGGATCCTTTACAGCCACTTGCCAAATACTTTCCCCTTGTAAACATACTCAAGATATCATTTCTCAATGATTTCTCAAGTTTCATCTGTAAAGAGACATTGGTTAAACAACAGCAGGTACCAGAAGTTTCCATTTCCCCCTGCATATACCACTTCCCCTGGTTCTAGTTATTATCCCTCTGAGAAAGGTCACCATAATTTATAAAGGTTAATGCTCCAAACTTCCTTTCACTAATCAGTAGAGGATGCTCCTCTCTCTCACCTGGGTCCTAATGTTCCTTATAATTGAACTGCACCAAGATGAATGCCTCTCATAATCATCACTTTTCAGCTTCATTTCCTATCAAAGGCTGGTTGTAGCAGAGTATGGGAAATATGCATAACTGTTAAAAAAATGATCCATTTCCACATGTGATGGTTAGCCAGCAGGAAAGCAGGATATAAAGCATGGAAGAACCCACAATTTAACTGAAAAGCATGCTGGTATTGCATGGCTGATATATTTAACACCAGAACTGAAAGACTTTGGAAGTCCTGCTGCTGAAATTGTTTAGTTATGGCTCAAGCAGATACTGCTGCAGCACCAGCCATCAAAGGTCTTCAGGTCATAGGTTTCCTTCTGCTCCTCTAATTGCCAGGGCTTTAAATCTACTGCCTTCCTAAATGTCTGCACTTTGCTTTACTGCCCAATTCACCTAAAAAAAGGATTTGGTGGCTTTGATCAAGAAAATATGGTTAGACTTCCAAGTGCAGAACCATCACAAGGTTGAAGGAGAGAGAAATTCCTTGCTGCTGACCTTGCACAACTAATCCTCCATCCATCCTCTCACAACAATTTCCTCTCATTATTATAAAGGAAGGCCTACTATTACAGTGGAACTGGATGTCCTTTTCCTTACTGTAAAAGACAAAACTGTTTTCAAATATCCAGAGCTCAGCAATGTGCATCTTGCTATTCAAATATTCTCTCAGACTATTTAATCTCATTACTATCACTGATAAGAATCTAGCAAACATCAAATTCCCTTGATGAGGAACTAAGTGATAAAAACCTCCAGAAAGATCTGTCTCATCCCAAAGTACAATTCTTGCAATTAAGTAGGAAACAAACCCACTATAATTCAACTGATTAGGCAATCATTATGTAAGTACAGAAAGGGACACAATGTCAAAGCATGTACTATTGCAAGTTCAGAAATTCTCCTTGTAAAATATTCTATCACACTTAAAATATCAAATTGTTTCCTTCTCTGCCTCTCTAAAGAGTAGGCCAAAACCAATGTCATAACTGCTTATGTTTGTTTTAAAATATTTTTACTTTTTTCTTGACAACAGGCAGGAGAGAGACAAACCACAGAAAAAAAAAAATACATGGGTGGCTTTTTTACCTATGATGTCTTTTCCTTCTATCACATCTTTTCTTCAGCCCCTGGTTACCACCCAGAAGAGAAAAGTGTAACAAGATATTACCTGGTTTTGACTCCCTCAAAAATAAATCAGCAATCAAGATGAATCAAGGGTGATCTAGCACATTAAAAAATATGCAAACAAGTGGGATGAATGCATGTGACCTCACCAATAACAGAGACAATTAGTGTTACTCAGGAATTGTGCCAGTGTGCTCCAGAGCTGAACCATGTTAGCCCTATACTGTATGAAGCTCAGACTAAAAAGAAAATCAGGGGTTTCAGCTTTCCTTCATTTATATTGATGTCTATCTTACATCACAATAATACTCCAGTGAGGAGAGAATCAGCCAATGCTTCCCAAAGAAGTTTTGGGAACCAAATTCCAAGCATCACAGGCATTAAGTTACACCAAATAAGTATTCAGTCAGTAAAAGAAAGGTCTGTCACCCACACTCTTTCAAAACAATCAGAACTTAACAGATATTTCAGGCTTCCTTTTCAACTTCATCCCAAATGTGTAAGCAGTTTATAAAACTGGCAATAGTAACAGATTGATAGAAAAGTTCATCTCCTCTGTACCAATTTACTGTAATAAACATGCAGGTCATGATTAGGTTGACCAAACCTGATGTGCCATTTCAGAGGCAACCACACTCTGATAAGCCAAGGCTTTAGCTTCTTGCCTGAAATAATTCTGAGCAAATAGCTCAACGTGGTGGACAAAAGAGCAGCAGGCATGCTCTTGTTATTAACTTACTCCTCTTTAAATAGCCTCCATCCTTGCTGCTCCTTACTTACATCTAATTAATCTCACTGAGTATTGATCTCATAACCAAAGCTACACGTTGCTGGTGGGGAAGTGAATCAGATTTGTAACAGCAAAGCAAACTCATCAGTGTAAAAGTTCAATGTGTGAGTGTGGGGGAAAAGACCTCTCAAGCTATACCTACTGGGAAAAGATACTTCTGTCTGGGAACAAGACAAAAAAAGTCTCAAGGAACAACCAGACAGACACGACAAGATAAAGTGTTATATAATTATATACCTTTAAAAAAAAAAATTTAGTGCCATAAGGTTTTCTGAGCAAAAGGAATCAGGAATATGTAACATTTATTTTCATGGCAAATGTACACATTCAGCTGTTAGCTTACATTACTACAAGAAGGCTTAATCTAAATGAATGAAAACCTTAGGCCAGGCCCATGCCAAGAATAGTTTGCCACTTTAATTACCTTGGCAAAACACAGCAGTTAAGCATTTATAGAACACATGTATAACACAGAGCAAAAACTGGTACTGGCTGTTACTCATTGCATCCCTCTTCCTCCTCCTCCAAGGGAGGGATGAGCATTGCTGTCCATCCAATAGCTTCTAAGCTAGGAGTGTTGACCAAGAGCTGCACGGGACAGACTGGGCCTCAGGATACCCCTAAACAAAGAGGTTAGGGCAGAAAACCAGCAGGGCAATTACACAGCATGCATGTCAGGCTTCATGTCTGTACGCTGGCTTGCTACACCTGTGCAGCCAGGCTAGTATCCCTGATAAAACTCAGCCTGATAAAGCTGGAATATGCTAAACCCCTTTGTGCATCTCATGAAGATACCTGCATGCTTCCTTTTCCTCTGCAGCAGAACACTGACGACACCTGAAGCCATATATTCCACCAGAAATTTGAATCTGTGATGTGAACTTTTTATAGAAAGAGATGAAAGAAATTATTTTTCCTTATTTTGAAGATGGATCATTTAAATTCCCCAGCATGGCTTGCCAGCTCTTTAAAGCTTTTGTTACCCAGACAGTTTCTTCTTCTTCCCTATAACCCTGGTTCCTTGACTGTCAACAGCTGGAACTGATGGAGGAAAGTGAGACGTGTAAAATGCTTCTTGTTGAGCAAATTAGAGAAATGCAGTTTAGTTGGATTTTTTTTTTTTTTTTTGTTAACAACAAAGGATTGTAAAGAAAATTTAATGAAAAGTGGCAACACAATAATATACTCTGGTAAATTAGGGCAGAATAGTAAGCGATTACACAAAAGTCCATTTGTGACAAAGACAGCAGGAGGGAGAATTCTCCCTTGTCCAATATTTCAAAAGCACTAGTTTTGTACATGCTCACTGATACTGTGAGCTCCCTCACAGGGATTCTTTGATCTTCTCCATTAAATATTTTTGTGGACACATTCTAAACTTGGTAAGAGAGCAAAATACTATTGTATGGAATAAAAGGGGAAAGAAAATGTACCTAACTGTACACTCACACCTTTAAAATAGGGAAACATTTGTGACAGCTTGGTCTCAAAGCGGTACTTCAAAAAGCTTTTCTATTGTTCACCTAAAGTATCTATTTCTTATTTTCATAAGACATGGAATCAAACCAAATCCAGACCCACCGAAGAGATGTTATATAAGCCTATAGCAAAACAAATACATTCTATTTAGTGGTTCAAATTGTATCCATACCTGTACTGCTGGGTTTGGATGCTCTTCCCTTCGGGACTGGTAGTAACAGTAATTCCAAAGACTGCGGTGGAGTTGCTTTCTCTTGTTTCATCTCTGAAAGCTGCAGAGGATCCTCAGGAACCAGTGATTTCTTCTTCTCAGCCAAGAGGGTGCCTGCAGCCCTTGCAGCAACCTCCTTGAGAAGGGCAGCTGAAGAGGTCATGGAAGCCAGGGAAAGGAAAGAGCTGGCTGGAGGCGGGTGCTCCTGCCCAGGAGTCATGCTTCTCTCGCTCACTTTCTTAGATAAAGCTGCTAACGTGGAGCTGGCTGACTGAGAGCTAAAGGGTGAGGAAAAGGACTCGAATCGTATCGTGTCCTCAGTCCTGGAAAAAGATTTGTCCTGCAGAACGGCATTGGCTGCGGCTTTCAGCTTCAGGATAGCTGAATCAGGGGACAAACCACAGGTGGTGCTCGAGTTTGGCAACCACTTACCTTGATTCCATATAAAGTGACTGCCTGCATTGTATTGGTCACTTTGTTCCTGTTTCTCAGCAAGCTTTCTGGCAAGCACACTCAGCTGCTGGGCATGGTGGGCAGGTGGAGAGAAGGAGATGTTTGAGCCAAGATTGGCAGGGGACTCAACTCTGCCATTGACTGTAACAGCAGCATCCAGCTTGAGGGAGCCAGCCTCCAGGAGCCGCCTCAGGTTACTGCTCAGTGGCTTGTTTGGACCAGGAGGTTCCTCCTCACCCAGAGAGGACACATCTGGAGAAAGGTGCTCCTTGCTCTGCAGCGTGTCTCTCAGCGCCTCATTTTCAATGGACCCCAGCTCCGCTGCGTTGCTGCTCGGCGTTGCGCTTCCCAAAGAGGTGTCGGGGGAGGTGGACTGCTCTTGAATCCTGTCCTCAAGAGACAACTTAAAGTTCTCCTGGACTTCTCCATATGATGCTTCCGAAGGAGTTTCTGAAGAATTCCCAAACCAGCGTTCTTCCTCACTGAGCTCACCTTCCACTTCTTCCTGTCTGGTACCATCTGTGTGGAACCATGAACAACAGCATTATTCCCAAATCTGTGTGAAGCAGCTTCTTAGCATGAAGCATGCCTGACCTCTGCATGACCCTCCTAAACAGTCCCCTAACACACCCCCCTAAAATGCACAGGCTTGGAATCAGCCTGGATTCAGTGACCAGAAAAAAAACCTTTTCAAAATGAATAAATCTTTCTTAGAAGACTTAATGATGACAAACCTGTCATCTTTCAGTCTGCACAACTAAAGTGGCTAAAACTGCAACAAGACATATAAACATCATATATATCCATATATTGCAAACAATTCTTTATTGGCATAGTCTGTACATCCTGCCAAATATGATGAACTCACTGGTATAAGGCAGGGATTCAACAGATCAGAAATTACTGGATATTTCGGTGTTTGTACAGCCAGCACAGGTGTGCCTTTAAAGGCAGATCAGGTGTGCAGCTACTCAAATCTCAGACCAATCCTGCAGTGACCCCTATCTAAAATAAAATAAAATAAATTTGTACTAATAATTCACAATTCATTCCTGATTAGCTGCAATGACTAATACATGAATGCAGACTAAAGCTCCCATCTCTCCAACTACTTGGGAAAGGAGCATCATACACATAGTGTTGTCACATACAGACTCTAATCGCTCTTATTCATTTGTCACTGTTTAATAAAGTTCTAAAGATCATTCTAAACTGAACTTAGTTTAGCTGAAAAGAAAAAAAAGGAAAAGTCTTGGTTCCACTGCAGTTAAGTTACATTTTCTCCTTTCTGGTAACTGCAAAACACCTGAGTCTCTCCTGAGATCTGGCAGTGTTTAAAGTACTGTGACCCTGGATTGCTCCTCCTCCTGACAGGTATTCAAAGTCATGCAGATGTGACCAAGACACTTTTTTTTTTGGCAGATCTTCCTGCCCAATCAGAACACAGTAAAGAACAGCAGCAATGCTAGAAATAAATTCATATTATCTTCTCTTGCCAGATACATCTCACATTTCTTGCTTTTAAACACAATGTCCCAAGCTGCACAAGCATCTTTGTAATCACACTACAGCAAGACAAAAGTATTTAATATAACCCTCCACTGACATCCTGGAAATAAGCCTGCATCATGTGCATTGTGTCTATGATCATGTATTATTCCCAGATTCCAAATTTAATTCCAGCAAATTACAAAACTTGGAGAGAAGTTAATGAATAAAATTTAGATTTCTATTGTTGCTTTGATCCAAAGAATTTAAGGAGGAAAGCCTCAGACAAATGTATCATGAGTATAGAGATACAAATGCACACTCTGAAAGCAAAGTCTTCAGAGTTTTTTATGTTATATAGAATATGAGGCACAGTCTCTCACAAAAAGTTTCTTTTATTCAAAACCCTGTGGAAAAAAGTCACCAATATTTTAGAAGTTGGCAATAAACTCAGTTACCTTAGGTTTGTAATTCAAGCAGAAGAGGGTTAGCATATTCCCTTTTCAAAACAAGCAAAAGCCAAACAAATATCCTAGCTCTTAGCTAGAATTATTTTGCTATTGACAAAGTTAACAACACAGGCTCAGCAATAACATGTGCATAAAGGCCAAGTACCATGCACATTCAAATAAAGGAGAGAGATGCTAATCAGTTGAACCAGCACTTATGTAGGTTAAAGGAGAACTGAATGTATTCCCTCTTCACCCCATGAACATTAAAAAAGTAACTTGAGCATGTCTGTACAGCTGGGTGCACTCACATGAGAGATCCATTCACTCATCGCAGATGCAAACAAGTTTGGAAGCCAAAAAAGCATCTCACTGGCGCTTTGTCTGAACTCACTCACCAAGTGCAGGGCACATCCTCTGGGACACAGCCTGGAGCTCACCCCACTACACAGCTCTGCAGCCAGAGCTAGCCTGCTCCCTACGCTCATCTGTCTGGTGAAACAATCTCTCTCATCCCTGCAAACCCCACTCTCTCTGGCTCTGTACTTCCCATCCATTCATATCAAGGGAGAATTGCATTTCCCTTCATCCAGAAAGCCACTCAAACATTACAGTCTGAGGCATATTTAAGTGTAAATGGATCTAAGAAGAAGTGGACTTTTCTTTTAGGGAAATCTACAGCTTACTAACCCCCCAAACTTCTCTGTTCCTTACTGTGTTCCTCAACTTCTTTCTTTTTCCAGACATGCACATTCCCCATTGGTCTTGCCTACACAAAAGGGCAGCCACCACCATGTTATTGACAGGGAGCAGCAGGAGAGCAGCATTCTTCATTTAAAGGCTTGCTCCCAAGCTCAGGATTTCCCTCCTCTTTAGGTAACACACTGAGAGCTCCCTCTCCTGTTGCTAATCTACCTGTGACCACTCAAGGCCTCTCAAAGCTCCATGCCGTTTCTATAATAAAGGGCAAATTTTCCCTCCAGTCTCACTATCCCAAAAGCCAGCAGGATACTTTTTTTTCCACCAGTTCAGTTTCTTTCTGTAGCCAGAAATCAGACCTCTAACTGCTGACACTGTTCTAATTTTCCTCTTCTCAGTAATTCCCAGTTGCTGCAGCATCAAGCCCACTGTATTTGAGGACTGTAAGGTTAATGCTGAAAAAGCCAGCATCAGTGTCTTATCATGAGCTCAGTCAAGCCTCTTTTTAAACACCAGTGAATTGGTTTAGGAGCAGAACAGTGAAGCCTGGCAATTTCATTGCTGAGCAAAGTTGCCTTTCAAGGCCTTCAGGGCAGAATTTTAATTCACATTAACTTGTGAGCCTGTGAGTTTGAACAAGCTTGAGCACTCCAGGAGAAATCAACCCAACGACTTCTTTATGATTTCAAATTATGTAAAAGCTTCCCTCAGAATCCAAGGGGTTCATGGGTCACCCAGATCAGGTTTGTCTGAAGCAGGACCCAACCTCCACATGTCTGTCAAGAAATTTCAGCTGCATTTCACATCTGTGGCAGAAATCTGCATGACATGTTTTTCCTTTCTCTCACAACACAGTTATGGAGCTGTTCTCATCATGATTCAAGAGTCAAGACCTGTCATTACTGCTTCTTCCTGATTTCCAGAGCAATTCTGAAACCGCTTCCCAAACCCTTTGCCACTGGCAGAGGCCAGTTGGGAATTACAGACAGCCTGCATGTTTCAGGACTATCACATTGCACACCACCCAGGAGCCTCAAAAAAATATTTTCCACTCTTGTCAGCAATGACAAAAGGCACCAAAGTACTGCTGGGTGACTGCTGCCACTGCTGTAGCCCATGTATCCATCTCTGGCAAAGCCACAAATGTGTGCAGAAAGCACTGTTTGAAGAAGTGCCAGTTTCCCTCGCTCGCCAACTCATCTGCTTGCTTTCAAATACAGAGAAGTTCATTTTCCTCTTCAAGAGATCAGTTTGACAGACAAATCTTATTGATCCCAAAGTGTGTTATTTCACTTTGTGACCATCTGCCCTTTTATTTAGAGTGCTGATTAGAATCTGACCCTGGTACCAATAGAAATGTAAATATTAACTTGCTCAAACTACTTATATCTGAAAACTGAAAAAGACAAACATGTTTGTTGATTTATACGCTGAGTCACTCAGCTCAAATGCTGGAAACTTCAACTCTACCCACTGCAATGTACACATGCCATTCCAGAAAGTGGCAAGTGTGAGATGATCCACAGCTTTGCTTTGTAGGACTTGGAGGGGAGAAATATCAATGTAGTGAGTTGGATCTCCAGGAAAGGGAAGAGTCTCAAAGTTGTGTTACTGAGCAACAGACATGGGCAGCGAAAACTTGATGGGAAGAACGCCACTAGAACACTAGAAATTATCTGAGAAGAGGCTACAGCTAAGGAACTCACCCCAGAGAATGACTTTTCATGCTAAGCAGGACAAAATTCTACTTTATTCATTCACTGAAATGAGTAAATTACAGAACTTCAATATAGAAATCCATATGCTGCAGTGATAGGAAACATACGGAAATTGTAATGATGGGATTACAGAACGAAAATTAAAGCAAATGCAAAAGTAGGTGGAAGTAAAATAATTTCAAATAAATGCATACAGGAAAATTGCTCATGAGATAAATTAATCAAAATTGCCCTTTTTTCAGCTCTTACATTTCAAGGAAAAACTGGGAACCTACAGAATCAAGATTTAAAGATATAGGAGAGCCAAACCTCACCTTTATTATCTTGGTATCAATTACCCTGATTTGCACAAGGATTTCAGATATGATCATTCAAGTTTGCATCAATCTAATAAAGTTACAATTACATTTGTTGTCCATTTGACACCCAGATCATCTTCCTAATTTGCTGCCCCAACAACTCTATCCTTTCATCTCTAGCACCTACCATAAACCATCCTTCAGATAATTTTACACCGAACCCTGTACCAAGGCCTACTGAAAGAGCTGGGATTAAGTGATAGCTTTACACCAGGGAACTGAGGAGCTCTGCAAAGACACCTAAAGAATTTAAAAGAACACATTAAACTTAAATGAAGCAGGAAGCCATCCAAGAGGAGTGCTGCGGTAACACTGACTGGCTCGGTTGAGCAATCAGTTTAAGGCCAAGTAAATAGGCAGATGCATCAAAAATAAGGCAGAGACAATACCTGAGCAAGCTAGGATTTAGCCTTGGGTGACTTTTACCAGTGACAGCAAGAAAAGTGGAATGAGTGAAGAGAAGAAACAGCTGACAACTAAGAAGGCAAGGATAACTGTAAGGATTTAACCAGTCATGGACAAGGCAGTGAACTGGAATGCTCATATCCAGCCTCCAGGGTGGGTTCTTTTGTTCTAGTCCTTCACTGACTGGTTTCTTAGAACCCTTAAATGAGGATTAGGGAATCAGGCCACAGGGCAGAATTTGCTGTCCTGGCAGTCCAGTTCAGGATACCCTTTCCTGCTGTAACCCAGGTTCCATCATGGCTTGTCATCACCATCATATTCAAACAAGACATGTTTGCCCATCACATGGTGGCTGTTAATTCAAGATGAGTACAGGCTCCCCTTGTCCCCATCTTACCTCT